TGTGCGGGGCAGGTACAGATGGGAGGCGTGCACGGGCGCTGCAGAAGGGCCACCCGAAAACCCAGGGGCTCCCGCCAGCTGCCTGGAGCCAGCAGGGATCCCTGGGCATACCCCTGACCCTTGTACCTGTGTCACTGCTCTTTGTCGCACAGCATATGACGACATGACCACAACCAATATTCTGAGGGTTTTATTAACAAGTATAATCCATATGCATTGTATACTAAATATAGTATGAGGACTGTACAGTACAAATTTATGTTCACAGTTTGACATGACAAAATGTCATTACTGAATTCCCATTGGACTACCAAAGTAGAAACAGTGAAAGTACATTAAACATTCACATCTTTAGTAAGAAAAGATTACCAAAATGTCTCCGTATTTGCAAGTTATAGTAATACACGCTAGAAACCTTTAATTACCCATTCAGTCTTATTAGCTTATAAAATATATTACATTTTATTAAAAAAATTCTGCATAGTTTATACAAGTATTAAAGTAAATATAATATACCTGCTATATTTGCAGGTGAGAGATGCTAAGCAGAAAGATTATTTTGACCCTCTAATATTTAAAGTACATTGGAAAAAGTGCTATTATCTGTAAAATATAATAAAAACTGGTGTAGCCCTCTTAAGATATGTAAAATGCTTTGTAATTTTTTATAGAAAGGAATTGTATTCATCTACGTGTTGCTAACCTTGACAGAGACAACAACATATTTGGACAAGTTGTGGCGTTGGAAATACCACTGCAGAACAGCAGTGTATATTTAAATAGAACCACACACAGCAATACCTGCTGAGCTTTTTGAGATTGTCTTAGAAACTAGTAATGCATTATAATCAAATGGCTTAAACAGGCACATTTTAGTAAATCAGCATTACCTGTTACACACTGCACAGTGCGATACTGCTAGTGAAAAAGTTTTTTTTTAAATATACACGTTCTGCAGGATTAGGGTTTGGTATCTTTATGTCTAAACTGGCTTCTCTTTAGGGCAAAGATGGGAGGACTGGCTTTTTAAAAGTATTTAGCTGTGTATATTTAAAAATTACAAGATACCCCTCAAATCAAAGTTTGCTAAAATGAGTCAATGAGTCAGTTAAGATGTAAATTCACATTTTCAGCTGAAAGATGTAAGCATATTTGTTTGTGACTTTTTTGACATTCCACAAGACACCACAGACGTGAAAAATCCTATAAACAAGGCATTTGCATGAAATAATCTCAAGTATTTATAGTTAATATTTACATTTCTGTTGTCCTAAATCACAAGGCACATGGATAAAGATATTTAAAAGTTTTATTGCATCTTCACTGTATTTGACCCCACCATTAGCATAAATATTTTCAGGAAAAAGGTACATAGGCTAATGAACGAGCATGATAAATAACCTAGATTAAATTCTCCAAAGTAAACCTTAGTTACAAAGAAATTCTGCTTTTAGGGTATTTGATTTTAGATTTCTAGTTTAAAAAAAAAATATTAAAGAAAACATTTTGTGAAAGCCTTGAAAGAGAAACAGAGCATTGGAAAATGTTCCTTAAACATCCCAGATTTTATGCATTTGCATTTGTTAAGCTAAAATGGGATCAGTTGCCATTAAGCTGCTTATTTTTATAGGACCTCATCTGCTTTTTTCCCTAGAATATAATGGAGAATTGTTTTCATCCCAGGACACTAACTATCTGTAGACTTGCGACTGATGCCACAGGGGCTCCACACAGCCTCTCAGTCAGTGACGTGTCTGCATTTATGGAACTGCCATTAAAACCTAGAGCCTAATGAAGGAGGCCCATTCCGACCCCGCATGATACTGCTACTGCTGATAATAAAAAAAATCCAACAAAAATCCTCATTCTAGAACGGCTGCTCGTTAACATCATCCTCTTCCCTGCAAGTTCCTCAATGTTAGGAACAACCCGGCCAATCAAAAAAAGACCAGTTCATCTCCCAGGTTTTTCAGCTCCGTAGATAAGCAACGAGGGTCAGTTACAAGATCGATCTGGCGTAACTTCCCTCAGCCCCAGCGAAGTGGTGAGGATGTAACAGAGCATACGGATCTTCCTCACAAAAGCTTTGCAGCAACGTTCCCAGCCCCGCTCTGCAAATCCCCGTTCTCCCCTTTGCAGAGCACACGTTCAGGGCTCTATTCCTTAAGTGAAATTGCCGGTTCCATATTCCCACATGTAAGATTTGTTACACAACTGGAAGAATACTTTGCATTTCACAGCAATCGCTGTAGGAGCGTTTTCCTCCAAGAGGTACAGATCCTCTCCTCTAATTCTATGGGTATGCGGATGTCAGCAGAACAGCTGGTAAACTCTGTCACCAAGGGAAGGCTCTTTGCACTCAAACTCTCCCATCTGCAAGATTATTTCAGTTTGCCGTTGGACCCCACGGGACGTAGCAGCACAGCCCACCTGCTCCATAAGCTCAAATATACCCACCTGCAGATGGACACTCCACCTGCCTCCTCCTGGAGAGTTTTATGAAACTCCTCCTCCCCTCACCCCTCACCCCTCCATTTTCCAGTGGGTTTTCCCCAAAGAAATGAAAGTATGTTTAATTTGCAGGGAATGCAAATTCACATAGGGGAACGAAGAAAAACGCACCGGTGCGCGAGAGCCTAGAGAAATACAGCCTGTTTCCTTGCAGTGCCATAAAGTCTGCCAGCTAATAAAGACAGAAACCTTCCTTTCAGCGGGCTTCCAGAGACAGGAACGTTTCTAGGGTCAACTGCAGGTTGCTTGAATTCAGTTTATTTTATCTATGGAGTTGTGTACGCTAACTGACATGGGAGTGAAGCCTTGCTGATGTGGTATTTTAATGCAATAGACACGTCCACAGGAAAGCTTCGTCTACCTACCGTTGAGACACTACCAGAGTCACAAATCAGAGTTATCAAACGGATGATTTGGCATAATTATCCAAAACAGACACGTGACTCCATTTATCATCAGAAGTGCTTCATAGCTGATGCCATCTTCTCATAAAAATATTGTGGATTAATAATTTTAAATATTGTAGTGTATTAAAGTGGCACTCACTCGCAACAATACAGTTCGGAGCATTTTTAACATAACAATTGCTATTTTCTGAGGCACAGCAAAGAGAAGAACTATTTAGAGGAAATGCAGGGGAGTGATTACAGAGGGATACTCTGTATCCCTGAAATGAGGTGTGGTGGGTTTCTGTGAATATCATTTAATGCCATGTCATAGGAGAGTACCGTGCGTGTTCCATCCATACACTTGCACAGAAATCAGACATACAGTGTCACACAAGGTCTTCATTTAACAAATCCACCAGGGCATTATGCAATAAAAACAAGGATATATACTACACTATAATACAGAGGACAGCTGACATTGGTTTAGATGCACAATTTTACATATAGACCAATTCCTGCAAATTTTTCTTCTTGACTGGGGTAAATGATACTGTGACTCAATCTTTCTGTAAAGTAATTATATTGCTTAGATTTATTTCTACAGTGCTATTCACTGTTTGGGCAGAGGGGATTTCTGAATCAGGTGCCTTTCTAAAACTGTTGTATTAACCATCAACACGGGTGGGAGAGTCCATTCATTGCATTGTTGAGCATAAACTGAGAGTGTATCCCTTACAGGGCACATAAATAAAAGTCTCTGGCAAGGACTAGCATTTTGGATATTCAGTAACATTTACTACTTTATCAGTATATGCGGGGTTGATTATATGAAGAAACCAACAAAAGCTGTTAGTTTACAAATTCCCTTATTCACATGGAATACATTAAACATACTGTCTGCAGAAAGGGTTTGCTTAGCATCCCCAGGAGAAAAAAAAAAAATTGTTCACATTCTTTAGGTCTGACCCGTGGCAAGGACATAGAAGGGTTAGATAACATCTGTTACTGACCATACGTAAGCTTTTAATGGTATAAACTCAGAGATTCAGACCAGCTGAATCCAAATTAAAATGCATGTGTGAAAAAAAAAAAAAAGTGTGACAGGAGTCAGGGACAGAAGACATTCAGACTAGCATGTGGCGTTTTCTGTGAAGAGCCAGATGGTCCGAACGTGAAAAGCTACGGTCACAGTCTGGGCACTGAAAAGGTTTGATTCCTGTATGCTTGCGGAAATGCCGCGTTAGTTCATCAGAACGAGCAAACTTCCACGTGCATCCCTCCCACGTGCATTTGTACGGTTTTTCACCTGGAAAAAGAAACACAGAAGTGGGGATTTAAGACACAAACACATCAGTTAAATATCTGACAGATTTATCCTCTTGCCTTGTCAAATTTCAGCAAGTACTTTAATGCTTACTCAAAAAGCCTCCAAACAGCACTGCGCTAGAACTAGCACTCTGTGCTAGAAACTGTGTAGTCGAAGCTAACAGATCAAAAAATTGTTTCCTGCCACAACTTATTTTTTTATTGTCTCTTTGTTCCTCCCTCTGCCATATTAGCACTTGCTTTGTCTCATCAAGCCCGTAAGTGTAAAGGTTTAAGCATTTGTTCAAGTATTTTCAAAACCAGGATCTCATATTCTAGATTAGCTGGGGGAAAGGACTGGTGTTACCACTCAGCACAGCAGGCAGAAATCTTCTTGTGACCTCCTAAAGTTACTGCAGTCTAAACAACTGGCACCACTGTCACAAGTAGCTCAGCTTAAAATCTCTCTCAATCATTACCTTCTAATATGTGATCCTCCTTCTCCTGCCCAACAGGTACAGGGCTGGCTTGTGTAGAGATGTAAGACAGACATGAACTGGGCTCCATTTTACCTAAAAGCGTCCCCTATCTTTGTAAAAATCTTGGATGTACATATTATTCCTTCAGCATGCCAAGATGAACATTTCTGCTGAGAACAGAGATGGGGCTACATTTATTGGAACACCCACTCAGAGAAGAGCACTACCGGACCACTGGTTAGCATGTCCACATGAAGCAGATGTGTTTGTATTTGGCACACAGTCCAGACTTTTGCAAATGGGCTACTCCCATGGAAGTCTCAGACAAATTTAGCAGTGATGTAAGAGGTGAGGTAGTGCAATTTGAACTGATCTGGTGTTTACAGGGTGTGCAGACTGAGTAATCTGCAAGCAACTGGACAGAAAATGAGCAAAGAGCCAGTGAATGTAAAGCATACCAGCATACACCGTGATCCTGCTTTGGCTTACAGTCTTTTGTCATGGGTTTTTCCTGCTACATCCTCTGTCTTTTGCTCTGCCTATAATTATATTGAGAACGATGCCAGATCTAACTTCTCTCATTTTGTTATTTACACCTGTGGTCATCCAGCTGTTAGCACAAACTGAAAGCTTAGTCTACTATTTTACCATAGACTCAATGAAAGAAAAGCATAGCAATGCTCAAACCTGTATGGGTTCTTCTGTGAGCTTTCAGATGGGAGCTTTTAGTGTAGACTTTGTTGCAGCCTTCATAATCACATCGATGTATTCTGCGTTTTCTTTGCGTGTCCGGAGATTCCACAGGTAAAGGTCTCTTTCCTGGCTGAACTATAACTGAAGGGTGATTCCTGCAAAGTCAAATTGAATGGTAAAAATGAAAAACATTTAGCACAGCAAACCTCAGCTAATAGGATTCACGACACAGCCCTTTATTCACTACCACTCTGTCTCTTGGAAGAAAGAACAACATTACATGCATGCTGAAAAATTCAAGAGGGTTTAGCAAATTTCGTGTATTCTAGAAGTAATATTTTTAAATGTTTACTCACTTTGTGGCATGGTGTAGCCATTTTTACTACTCCCTAGCTTCTTTTAAACTTACAAAGGAAAAACCCCCTTCAAATTCCTGTTTTTCAGTCAAAGCCAGATTTCTCAAACTGTGAGTTCATAGTGAACTTTTCTTGGATTTGTTCACAATTTTTCTTCTTCCTTCAAATGCAACTGATTTGCTTGTAATTGGAAACAGCTATTCCATATTATTAAAGAAATTGTATCTTTAGGGTTTCAAAGCAGAACTCAATCTTTATTGTTCCAGCCACTCCTTTAGAGAGCAATTAAGAATTTCCTGTTTGGTGCTGGCAGGAGGGTGCGGCCTCCCTATACCACTGACGTCAATTCCTAAAAGTAGAGTTTAGCCTGTGTGGCACACCCACAGGATGTCTGAAGTTGTCCCTCCACTTTCATAAACATAATTTTTTGCTTTTGAAGCCCACAGGTACAGTGCAGGTAAGACATGTACTAACTACATATGGACTTCTGTAACAAACAAAAACATAAACATTCACGTGTGTGAAAACACATAGAGCTTCTTAAAAGGTGTCACTGACTGTGGATATTCAGGCATGAACAACACCCCTACTGTAGAATTGGGGACAACCTTGATTCTTTCTTCCATGTCCTTCCTTCCACTTCCTTAGAAAAGGAAGTATGTATGTTCATCAAAAAGGTTAAGTGGCGTTATAGATCTTGCAACCTCACAAAGTTGCATTTTTCAACCCCATTAGCAGATCTGTATCACTGCTTTTAATGTATTTTTTAGATTTTAACTGAAACTTAGTATGTAATGTGCAGGTATTAGCATTCCTTGTTGCAAAACCAGCTCCTCCATGTGACAGAAATAAGCTTTCTAGAACTCCCGCCTTTTCTCAGTTACTGTATTTCACACTTCTTTACTGATCAAATTACGTTTTATAACACTAGGTTATATTAGTTACTTAAACCAAGTTCCTTTAGGGCCTAATTTTCAGGAACACTGAATACCTACTTCTCTCAGTAAAATAAAAGTGCATGTGCTAAAGATCCTTTGGTTAAATCCACGTAAAAAAAGACTTATCAGGCACAGCAAAGAAAATCTTGTGTGTGGTTTAACAAGAAAAAAAGTTTTTATTACTCTCCACAGCAGCAGGATGGGAATTACCAATGCGGGAAAAGTTTAATTCTGTTATTAATTGTTTTATTAGAGTTACAAACTTGAAACTGGGAACCAAATTCTCTTCCTTGGGTGTTTCTGTGACTGTTGAGTGATGTACTCTTCAAGTACACATTAAATCTAGCTAAAAATATTGTAATGGCAGGAAACCCCAGATGGTGATGTTAGACACAGATGTACACCCTCTCAAATAAGAAAGGCAGGCTTTTAGTTTCCAATGAAATGCTTCTCTAAAGCAATGCTCAGTTTTAACGCTGTTGCATACTAGTCTTTTTGGAGAAGCTCTGGCTTAGGACAGCAAGCAAACTTGGTTTAAATTCCTATGTGTGGAGGCTAGTCCTGGACATGGTAACATCTGGAAAAAGGGAGAAAAAGGATATTGGCTGTACACTGTTTGTGATGGTTTTCAATCTAAGATCGTGTAAATAAAGCGCTGAGAATTCATCTCTGTCTCATTTTCCCTTTAGAGGAAAGGAGGCCGGCAAGACTACAGAATGTTATCAATAATCAGATAGGGTGTGGCAGTTTTAAAAAATTATTAAGGCGGTGTCAAACATCAGAGGTAAATATTAAGTAAATGCCAATAATAAAAGCACAGCCCTAATTCTTTCATTCCCTCTTACACAACCAGATACAAATTCATGTAAGTCTAACCATTTAAGCATCATTCTTTAACAGAGAACAGCATCTTCCAAAAATCATATTACAATTTCAACAGCTTTTTCTCCTTCTTTACCAACAGACCACACTATGCTGAGAGCGTGAGTTACACTTTGACACTTGCACTTGCAAGAAAATACAACATTAATGAGGCTTCTTATATCTGGTCAGAGATTATTACCTCAAGTTTGGTTTTAGAAATAACTGCACAGTTACGACAATTATCAGACATACTAGAAAGTCCAGCAATCCCTACAGAAATGCCACCAACATTATATATATGTAACGTGTATGACAAAAACAAACACTAAAGCAAAATCAATCACTTAAAAGTGAGACTGAAGGTTTCCTATGCCCCTTTAATGTAGCTTATGTGTCTGAATAGTGCACTTTGGGCAGTTGGAACCTATGAAAAATGATAAGAAATCATTGCCTACCTATAGCTCATAATGCAGAGAGAGAGGCTGATGAAGCTGTGAGACAACAGGAAATTTTATGAAGGTCTAGGTCTCTCATCTTGTAACTTGTGTGATTTGTCTATGTATTTTTTTAAATGATAGAAAGATAAAAACTATCGTTCACAAACTTCTTGTTGCAGATACAGCAGAACGCGAACTTGAAAGGGCTGGCGTTAGGAACAAGGAAGAACTGCAGCTCTGCAGGACAGCTAGGAAGCAATTTAAGCCATTACAATGTGAGGACAGGGTCTCCATAAATATAATGCTCTGCATGGGCAAGCAGAGGAGATGCTTTGGAAACACGGACTATTCCAATGTGTTTTGTAACAATGCTACCTACACATTATACTGAATTTTATATTCTTTGCTCAGCGGATGGGTTTCCTGTGGAAACTGGACTCATTGGGAAATAATTAATGCAATCACAAATGCAGGTGACAAGTCTGCAGAAGTCTCAGCCCTGGAGGAAGGGCGTGGTATCAGCCAGGAACAGCACTTACTGGTTTGCTCTTGTTGAAGAGGCCTAACAAAGAACAAAAGTGAACTGAACCATTCGATAGCCCTGACCCAGCAGAAGTCAGTTCCAAGTACATACAGACCTGACTCCCTTGTGTGGCAGGTCCATTATGGAAGATAAGTAACCACCTAGTAAACATGGATGTTTACTATTTTATTATATGTTTATTAGAATAAAACATATGAGGTTATTTTTAAATAAACAGCATATAGTTTATAAAAGCTAGCTGGCAACTAGTTAATTGCAAAGAGCCTGCAGTCTAGAAGCTGCACCTAAGCTGGTTAGAGACTTGAAAACGAGGAGGGGTGCCCACAGGACGGCTGTGCAGAATGTAGTTAGCCCTGGAGCCACGGTGTGCCTTCTAACCTGGGAATGGTCATGAGCAGGAGGAAGAGGCTGCCTTCTGAAGGAAATGCAGAAGACGGCCTGTCCCATGCTTCCTCTCTCGTTCTGAAACACCCCGCACTCACACACTGGTTTTGGGAGTCTGGCTTGGAGCCCTCCTTTTCCACCCTAGGAGGTGAGGTCTCGTACAACCGCTCCAAGGGTGATGGCGAGCGGGAATAAAGGGCAGAAATGGATTCTGAGGTCATGTACCGAGTTCCCAACTTCAGCTCCTGCCAGAGCCATGCTGGCAGCCTGCATGCCTG